GAGATCGAAAGCTAAAAAAGATTCGGTTTCCGAATGCAAAGGACGCGAGATTTTGCCGCATGAGACGCCCGAAAAATCTGCTATAAGCAATACTTTAATAATTCCAACGCCGCATGTTGACTTAACGTCCGGAGTACCGAATGAAACTGGTAGTGCAGCCGTAAATGCCGTAGTACCTAAACCTGTCACATGCGTGGTACCTAAAACAGTCACCTGTGTACCGCAGCGGAAACAAATTTTTGTTTCTCGGCTAAATCCTGACCTTTCATCGCTGGACATTACGGCCTATATCCGTAACAAAGTTCAGATTGATGATTTAAAGGTTGAACGATTTAATTTTCCATATGCTAGGGAAGTATCATCTTTTAAGATCGGTGTTCCCTGTGCTCATTTTGCAACTATGTGCTCAGCCAATTTTTGGCCTGTTGGCATTTTTGTTAAGGAGTACGAAGCTAAAAAAAAGAAAACTCGTTCAAAAGAAGTTGGAAATCCCTTTAAAGAGCCATCCACATCTACATCCTCATCTATCTCAAAAAACTAGATTCTTTTCTTCAGCTTTATTATCAGAATACAAGAGGTTTACAAAGTAAGTTGACCAAATTGTATACTGATAGTTTTTCCTTGTCTTCCCATGTTATTGTTTTTACTGAAACCTGGTTAAAACCGGAAGTTCTAAGTTCCGAAGTTTTTCCAAGTAAGTACACAACTTACAGGCTTGATCGTCCGTCCCGACGTGGAGGTGGAGTTTTAATTGCAGTTGACTCAGAATTAACGTCTGAAGTAATAACGTCCGACGAAATAAATGACATTGAATTTCTGTGTATAAAACTATCCCTTCCGGGTATTTCTATATACATAACATGTTCATATATTCCGCCATCATCGGAATTCCCGACATATGCGAATCATCTGTCCGCTATCCAGTTTATTTCAAGTAAACTATCAGATAGGGATCAGTTAATAGTTTTAGGTGACTTTAATATACCTAGGGCGACATGGTCCACCGTCGAAACCTCAAATATATTGTTACCTTCAACGCAGCATGATTTTCTTGACGGTTTGCTTGATATTTCATTGTCTCAAGTAAATCATGTATTCAATTTCTTAGGACGATTACTGGATCTATGCTTTGTTTCCAGTCCAGATTGTGTCTGCATAGCTAGAACCTCTGCAATTACTTTACCAGAAGACCCTTATCACCCAACGCTAGAGCTGACTATTGACACGGGTACAAAAGTGTATGAAGTATCTGAAAAAATAGCTAAACGCATTCCCTGCTTTCGTAAAGCGAACTTTGCACTCATTAATAGCCTTATAGCTTGCTCGGATTGGTCCAATCTGTACTTAAGTACTAATATAATTGAAGCGGTTAATATATTTTATAACATATTAAATGAAGTTTTTGATACATGCGTTCCTACGTATTATCCTAAAATTTCAAACCAACCTCCGTGGTTTAACAAAGAGCTGGCACGACTTAAAAATGTAAAGTCTAGACTCTACAAAAAGTTTAGAGCTGCAGGTTCACAAGCTGCCTTTTCCCGATACTTAAGTGCTCGGTCCGATTTCACCGTGCTTAACGCTCAGTGTTATAAAAACTATTTAGCTCGTTGCAAGACCCAGTTTACACTGGATCCAAAACAGTTTTATAATTTTGTTAATACAAAGCGTAAATCTTCTAGTTACCCATCATCACTTAAATTTGAAAATTCGGCTGCTAGCACTGATCAAGCCATAGCCGATCTTTTTGCACAGTTTTTTCAAACCACCTATTCAACATCAAGTCCTCCAGATCAGTCTTACCCATATGTTATTCCTAAATCAAACTTTATTTGTTGTCCTGTTATAAGTAAAAGCTCACTTCTTTTAGAATTGCAAAGGGTCAAACCAGTCTACTCTCCGGGTCCTGACGGAGTCCCTGGATGTGTGCTTAGGTATTGCGCTGAGACTTTGTGTAGACCATTGCACAAACTGTTTACTTTGTCTTTAGAAACATCCGATTTCCCACACAGATGGAAGGAATCGTTTGTTATCCCGCTTCATAAAAAAGGGAGTAAATTGAACGCATGTAATTACAGAGGTATTTCAAAGCTATCAGCTATACCGAAGCTCTTTGAGAACATTATTACGCCTCATTTACAACACAGTTGTAGGTCCCTTATTTCCTCTTGTCAACACGGATTTATAAAACGTAGGTCAACGACAACCAACCTTTTGGAGTTTACTTCATTTGTTATAGGAGGTTTTAGAAAGAATCGTCAGACTGATGTGGTCTACACTGATTTTAGTAAGGCGTTTGATTCTGTAAGTCACCCGATTTTAGTCCGGAAATTGGACCTTTTAGGGTTTTCAGGTGATCTTCTTAGGTGGATTTTAAGTTATTTGAATGATAGGACTCAAAGGGTCATTTTTAAAAACTCTTTGTCATCCCTAATCCGAGTTACTTCCGGTGTACCACAAGGAAGTCATCTTGGTCCGCTCCTGTTTACATTATTTATAAATGACCTTCCATTAGTCTTAACGAAGTCACGGGTTCTTATGTACGCAGATGACGTTAAGTTGTGCCTGCAATATAATGACCCCGCACAAAGTTTAGCTTTACAATCGGATCTAAATGCATTTCAAACGTGGTGCATGGATAATGAATTGAATTTAAATGGTTCTAAGTGTAAACTAATGACCTTTTTTCGTGTCAGCCCCCACTACTCAACGTATACTTTGAGTGGTTGTGCGTTAGATAGGATAACGCATGCTGACGACCTTGGAGTCTACATGGATCCTAGACTTAAATTTTCCGATCACATTACTACTATGGTAAATAAAGCCAGGGGCGTGCTTGCATTTATCAAAAGGTGGTCGAAGGAATTCGATGATCCCTATGTCACAAAGACCTTGTTCATTTCATTAGTCCGACCAATTCTTGAGTACTGCGCTCCTGTTTGGAGTCCCCAATATGGGGTGCATATAGACCGGATTGAGTCTGTGCAAAAAAACTTCTTAATATTTGCCTTACGGAGACTTAACTGGGATACAAGCCTAATACTACCATCCTACTCTAGTAGACTGCTTCTAATTAACTTACCATCGTTAGCTAACCGTAGAACTATGCTTGGTATTACGTTTATTAGAAATCTTATTCATGGTGATGTAGAGAGTCCCGAGTTACTGGGTCGCCTGCATTTTAATGTGCCAAATAGATTCACTAGAAACTATATTCCTTTAGTATTAAATCACTGTATCTCTAATTACGCAATGCATGAACCTTTTAGAGTACTTTGCAATGATTATAATAGACTATATCATCTAATATCTACTACTGACTCACTTCCTATCTTTAAATCAATAATACTATCCTCCCTAGTAACTAATTAGTTTTACTTGATGTATTTTGTCTATTCGTATTGACCTGTATTTTTAATTGTCTATTTTTACATTGTCTTTTTCTTTGTCCGCGATTATGTTTACTCGCCCAAAACGGTGATGGGCTCCGCGCGTAACAAGCTTTGCTTGGTGTCGTAGGGCCACTTGTTTGTACTGACCATAGTGCATCAACGTCCAAAATATCCACGTTCATATTTACGATTTTTTGAAGTTTGTGGGCTGTTTATGGGCGTTAGGGTGGGCGTGGCAAACTTTTTTTTGGGTCAATCGATAGGTATTGATGAGAACATTACATTTCAGTTAAAATTTTTATTCTAGCATCAAAACTGTAGGAGCCACAGTTTTGGGCGGTTTGTGGGCGTTAGAGTGGGCGTGGCACTCTACTGAAACAAACTTGCGCTGCGTAAGAAGCTCAGGAATCTGCAAGCCAAATATCAATAGCCTAGCTCCCATAGTTTCCGAGATCTCAGCGTTCATCAGGACAGACAGACAGACGGACAGACGGACATGGCTAGATCGACTCAGCTAGTGATCCTGATCAAGAATATATATACTTTATGGGGTCGGAAACGCTTCCTTCTGCCTGTTACATACTTTCCGACGAATCTAGTATACCCTTTTACTCTACGAGTAACGGGTATAAAAAACAAAAAAGAATGACATATTTTTTTTTAGTTTCTTTATAATTTTTTTAAAAATTATTCAAGAAAAAAAAAAACTTTAAAAAAATTTGTAGATGTGAAAAATCTTTAAAACTGCACCGTTTTTTAATGTTTGGGTTAGCAATACGCATGTGAAATTCTTTTAGACAGGCTATTATAACTTTGGTCAGTCGTATGACTGTCACAAAATCATCACGCAGTCAACTGCGACGACGGCAGAGCCGGCAACGGCAAAGCAGCGCGTCTAGTCGGGCATTTCAAAGAAACGCATACAAAAGGTTCATAAAGGTGATGAATTTGTGACAGTTTCTGTGCACTGATGAATCGTAGGACATGCCTATGTTAAAATCATCACCACTTTTCATAGAAAATCAGTAGAGATTAATTCTTTTTCTCCCTGCATAAAACGTGATGAATGGTACTGCAGGGAAAGAAAACGAAATGTTGGAATTTGTTTCTATGAGTGCTTTGGTCTCCGAAAAGTTGACCCCTGCTCTATTTTAAGGATGTGAACAAAGCACAGAAGGACAGGATTCTGATCGAGAACATATCGTTCATTTACTAAAAGAGTGAATAAAATAGTGTCGTAAAACAAGATTTTTGATTTAATGATTTGAGAGTAGTAATTATAATCTAAATGACCAATGCCACTCTTTTAGTAAATTGCAGATATAGGTAAATTAATAGAGTCGGTTACGTATTTATCATTGCGGTACAAACTTCTGACCAAAATTATAGTATCCTTTTCAAGGAATTATAAACTTGATTGAGGGGAAAAATATTATAAAAGTGTATACGCTATGGAACTTTCTTAAAAAAACTGTTCATGAAATGTGAGCATAGAAGATAAAGAGAATATGAAGAGACAGTCGGTCCAGAGACAAAAAAAAGTACAGAACAAAATTAGCAAATAAATGATATCTATATTTATATTTTCAAAAAACTTTTTTTTTACAGAACCTCCTAATTCGGATAGTGATACGGTCACTTCAGAACCATCTCACGATAGTAATAAATCACAAGAAATTAAGGAATCTACTTCACTGGACAGTAATAGTAATTCTCTTCATACATTACATTTAGCAAGGACTCCGAAAAACTTGATGCCGAAAAATTTTAATGATGTTACCACTCAACTAATGCACCTAATTCACAGCTTAAACAGCCCAATGAGTGAACTTGAAATTGAGGAATTGTACCAAGCTCAAATAGTACCATGTACTTGCATAGTTATCGAGGAAGTTCCAAGTACATTAGGAGAGCACAAAAAAGAAACTTCAGACACTGATACCAACGATCCAACAACTAGTTCAAATTATGATGAGAATATTTCTCACCACAAGAATGAAGAAAACATGCTTAATTTTGAAAGTTTGGATAATGGTGATGTAGGTGAAATTCAGCCAAAAACAGTGAAGTCCATATTTGATCTAGATTTTGACGATAACGACGATCCTTTGTATTCAATAATGGATGAAATTCGGAAGCCAATAGTTAAATTTGAAGATATAAAAAAAACTCTGATACCAAAAATGTATCTTTTAGTTCACCTGTACAAAACGTTTCGTTAAATTTGTTACATATTAACGCCGATGCTCAACTTGACAACACAAATCAAGGAAAAGTAAACAGTGAAACACAAAATGAAGTTCTTCCTGTTTTTACGGTTCATGAGGATCCTGATTGCGTAGCAAAGCATAGGTTTTATGTACAAACCAACAAGGTGACGAGTTTTCACATAAATTCATTGCATAATTTCTACATACCAAACATAAATGGCAATTGGGATAGTGTTGACTCATCTCCTAGTTTTCAATCTGAGAAAAACTTTCTTCACACCTTGGACTCGTACACAGTGACTAATGGAGCTGATGTTGTACCTAAATATGGTCTTCTTACATCAGATAGAATAAGAAAAGATTTAAGTTCTTTAAAATTTATAAAACCTTTCAAGGCGAAACGTTTTAAATCTTTTGTGTCACCGTTTCTTGGCGTTGCAAAGTGCTTACCAACGTGTCGACGTGCTAGACAAAGGGTTAAGGAATGGCTTAATTCTTCGAATACTTCTGCTCAAATTTCAAAAAGTTTACAAGTTCCCGAAATTAAAATAGAACAACAATTTAATAGTTCCAGCCCGCTAAAGGTTAATATTGATGTTCCGATTTCTGCTATCAACAGCCATAATGAAAACCACGTGCCAACGCAAGTTAATTCCAACATCAATATACCACCATCACCCGAAACATTATTTGGTACGTGCTCCATCAATGCTTTCAGTAATAACCTATTAAAATTGGCTAATGATGAGGTGCAATCCGCTGACCCTGAATCAAGCGATAAAAGTAGTGATAACGAGTTTCAGGATGACAGTCCGTATAGTGCTAGTAGTTCCAGCAGTTTTAGCTTTTCCAGTTTAAAAGAAACTCAAGACTCCATAAATGAAAAGCTTAAAAATAAAAGGACTGAGTCAATCGGCACAAAAGCAGTGATACATCAAGGAAATAAAAGAATATATGCGGGGGATGCTACGAAAAACAACAAAAATGTACGGAAGGAATTTAATATTCCGGGCAAGCGGATTAAGACCGCTTTAAATGGGAATTTGTTTCATCTGAGTAGTAATAATAACAGCAGTGATAGTGACAATGAAGCAGAGAATGATAATGAAAATGAATACGAAAACAGTAATAAGGAAGAATATGCCGTTGTTCAACGCCCACAAGGTGATGGTGGAGCTTGCAGCAATCATATTGTATTGACAATAAAGAAAACTCCAAGCAAAATCAATTCTCCAGCAAACTCTATGAATGCAGTTTCACCAAATACAGATATCAGATCAGATCATGTCGGAAATGTAAAAAAAACAATTACCAATTATTTTCTGGAAGATGCAACTAAAATACGAAGTTCAACTAAAATTTCGGAGGAGAGAAGTAAGTTAATATCGAAAGCATACAGGCTAGCTTCTCGGTCCCGCTATCGCCAAGTAAGCCGAAAACACGTAAAAGGTCGAATTCCGACTATTGATATAGAACTTAAACATTTATTCCATTTAAATCCAAAAGAAACAGATCACATTTCTAAAATGAAGCTTCACAATAAATTGTTTTTCCACCACGAATTGTGCATGGAGAACGCTGTAGGTATAGAGGAAAAAATAATAAACTATAGCAGCAGCAGCTCAAGTAATGACGACGATAGCGAAGTGGAAAACACCTTCACAGAGGAGGAAGAAAAAGTTAAAAAAAGTTCATCTTTCGATACATATAAAATAAAATTTGAGACTGAAACGAGTGCCGGTGCAGCGATTTCCGAAGTCAAATTTGAAAGCGAGGAAGATTCATTTTTAACTTCCTCGAACGATAGCGATAGATCAGATGAAGAAGAACGTGAAGAAATAAATCATACAGTCGATGAGCGCAACGATTTTCGAAACAACAACATGCTGCAATCTTTTAATTCAATATTTGATGAGAGTTCTGTTGCCAGTATAAAATCAGCCCCGCCTATAGCATCGCTAGAATCACAAAAAAAAGAGAATACCGATGTTAGTAATAGATGTTGTAATAATAACAACTTAGATGTTGGCTTAACCAATGAAATCAGTAACATCAGGCAAAAATCTACTGAGTCGCCAGAGTCAACTAATAGTTTTCCATTACTCGGCTTTGAGTACCGTACTGGGATTCGTCAATCCTTAGACGCTGCTCCAAAAAGTGTACCGGATAAGGACTTAACCAGGATTCAACAATTCAAGGAATGGCATCAAGTTCTCCAATTAAAATCCTACAATAATGAGCCCTTAATCGTTTTGCCTTACGTTTTGCTTGAATAAATTAAACGTTTCACTCACGCTGTGTGATAGCATTTCCAATACAAGAAGATGAAAAAGAAAAAGCGTGTAGCGAAATTAAATTCATTTAAAAAATTATTATCAACTTAATTATAATATTGTGTTGTGTAAAAGTCACTTTTGATTAGATCACAGCACTGTTGGTTAATTGTACGTTTGCCACGATAAAAATAAGCATAATAGTTTAAGAAGAATTGCGTTTGCAATGTGAACTTTTGTTACATTATACTGTTAAAAAAAATAATTTGATGTTTTTAATTTGAAAATTTTCAGTAAATATTTAAAATTATAAATAACACAAACTAATGTATAATAACTGTAAATAAACTAGCTATACATTAAATACGTTTCTCAATGAATTTATTAAAGAAATTCTAATTTTAAAAACAGCAGATTTTTTTCGTAGTCGAATTCTACGGCGTTTGACAAATTAAAACAATAAAAATAATTAAATTAGTAATATTTTATAGTTCTTGGTTTTTTATTCTATTTATTTTATTTTATTCTATAAATATTAAACATATTTGCTAAGAATAAAACACTGATAAAATCTTAAAAAACGTGGGCGCCACAAACTTTTACAAAATCTTTTACGTAGGATAACAAGTCATCAGGGAAAGAAGCCCTGCCGCTGTCGACCTCAGTAAAGAAGTCGGAGTAGCGTCGAAAACTGCTGACGAAAACTTTCGGGCAAGAGAAACAGATATTCATAGATTCCCCTCTCTATTTGTTCTTTGCCTTCAATCAGAGACTGACTTTGGTGTTTCCGTTATTTTTTTTCTTGCCTATACGCGTTAGATGGGCAAAATAAAATAAAAATCGCGGAAAGGAGAGAAAAAAGGCTTGACTTCGCTCATCTTTCGGCGGTAATCGACGGAAAACAAGCGTATTAAATTTCAGCGCCACGATTTTAAGTTTACAAGTGCGTTTATAAGTTTGTGTCAGGTAAGTGATACTTTAATTACCAGCAATTACCTTTTGTTAATTGTTGATTTACATTTTTATGTGATTGGCAACATAAAATGCGCAAGAAAGCGTTTGTCCCCTATCTCTTCTCATGTGAGCCGCATCCTTGAACTGTTTTTGTCGTGTGAAACTAAAAACTAAAATGTATTAAAAACATATAGCCCAATATTCACATCGACAAAAACTGCGAGCTAACCACAGGAGAGAGCGAGAGACAAATAGGCGGCACTCAGATGAGCTAAGAAAATACCAAAAATAATATCTGATTTCCCAAATTAATTTCGATGATCTCCGTTAGCCGCCCGCAAAGAAGGTGTGTAACATAACAAGAGAAAACGCTAGAACACAGTTAGTTAATAGAGCCACCTTTCTTCTTCTATAGCGCCACTTGACCCACGGTGCCAACAAGCCCATAGCGCCCCTAGCGGCTTGGTGGCGTATTAGTGAAAACAGCTTATTTGCTGCATTCGGTGTGCAATCTCGATTGAATTGCAATAAATTGATTATTTTTTGGTTATAACTTTTTAATGAATAATCCGATTTCAATAAGTTTTGGCAGAGAATAAAAACAAGGAAGAACGTTATAGTCGAGTACCTCGACTATCAGATACCCGTTACTCAGCTAATGCGACCAAAGGGAAATGGAGATATACAAGCAGTAAAGCGAGATTGAAATGCGCCACCTACCCGCGATCTTAATATATGGTTATGTGGGCGGTAGACAGATTTAAGCGTTATGGGCGTTAGAGTGAAAATTTTAGGCGCCACAGGTTTGTGCGGTTTATGGGCGATCGAGTGGGCGTGGCAAACTTTTTTTTTGATCAATCGATACATATTGACAAGACTAATATAAGTTAATATTTCTTGTCTAGCATATAAATTGTGGGCGCCACAGGTTTTGGGCGGCTTGTGGGTGTTAGAGTGGGCGTGGCATATTCGCGTAACAAACTTGCGCTGCGTACAAGGCTACGGAATTTAAATCTGAGATCCCATTTCTCTATCTTTGATAGTTTCCGAGATATCCGCGTTCATATGTAAGATTTTTTTAAGTTTGTGGGCGTTAAAGCGGGCGTGGCAAACTTTTATTTGGGTCAATCGATAGGTATTGATAAGAACAATACATTTCAGTTAACATTTTTATTCTAGCTTCAAATCTGTAGCAGCCACAGTTTTGGGCGGTTTGTGGGTGTTAGAGTGGGCGTGGCTGAAACAAACTTGCGCTGCGCAGGAATCTCAGGAATCCGCATGCCTAATCCCAGTATTGCAGCTCCTGTAGTTTCCGAGATCTCAGCGTTCGACTCGGCTAGTGATCCTGATCAAGGAAATATATACTTTATGGGGTCGGAAACGCTTCCTTCTGCCTGTTACATACTTTCCGACGAATCTAGAATACCCTTTTACTCTACGAGTAACGGGTATAACAAACGCTCATATAAATGTGTACAAAATATTTCAAAATGTGGGCGCTAGACGAAAAACAAACTGCGCTGCGCAGGAAGCCCAAAAATCTGCATGCCAAGTCCCAACACTCTAGCTTCGCGTTCATACGGACAAGCTAGATCGACTCGGCTAGTGATCCTGATGAAGAACATATATACGCTTCCTTCTACCCCTTAGATACTTTCCGAAGAGTCTAGTACGAATGGCAGGTATAAAAATTGAGAGAAACCCCTAAAAACCACGCCAAAGAAGCCTGCAGGAACGCAAAGAAAACAGTTCGCCTTATCCAAGCTGTTGAGGGTCGCCCAGTATTGTGGGACTTGAGACACAGAAAGCAATACCACAACATTGGAAATCCGCAGCGCAATAGACGTGCAGGAGGTAATCTTATCGAGAAGCCCATTGGGAAGGAACATTCAAAGTGGGACTTCCCTCCCTACACGGACATCCTGTCGGATGCGCCCTCGCACAGAAAGTCGATTGTACTACTATAATTATCTTTTTTTTACTAATTTAAATAATTTACAACATCCAATTATTCCATTTATTATACCCGTTACTCGTAGAGTAAAAGGGTATACTAGATTCGTCGGAAAGTATGTAACAGGCAGAAGGAAGCGTTTCTGACCCCATAAAGTATATATATTCTTGATCAGGATCACTAGCCGAGTCGATCTAGCCATGTCCGTCTGTCCGTCTGTCTGTCCGGATGAACGCTGAGATCTCGGAAACTATGAGAGCTAGGCTATTGAGATTTGGCGTACAGATTCCTGAGCTTCTTACGCAGCGCAAGTTTGTTTCAGTAGACTGCCACGCCCACTCTAACGCCCACAAACCGCCCAAAACTGTAACTCCTACAGTTTTGATGCTAGATAGAAAATTTAACTGAAATGTATTGTTCTCAACAATACCTATCGATTGACCTAAAAAAAAGTTTGCCACGCCCACTAAAACGCCCACAAACCGCGAAAACCTGTGACGCCCACAATTTGCATGCTAGATAAGAAATTTTAACTGAAATGTATTGGTGTCGTCAATACCTATCGATTGATCCAAAAATAAATTTTCCACGCCCACTCTAACGCCCATAACGCTTAAATCTGTCTACCGCTGGTAGGTGGCGCATTTTAATCTCGCTTTGCTGCTTGCATATCTCCATTTCCCTTTGAGTAACGGGTATCTGATAGTCGAGGTACTCGACTATAGCGTTCTTCCTTGTTTTTAATTAATTGCGTTGTGCACCAGCATACTCTTCTTTTTTTAAATTGCTCCAATTGATTTATTTTCCGTTTGCCAACAAACCCATCTGATTGACAACAAGACCTTTTTACATGCATTGCGGGTGAAGTTTGAAAACTTCGGTCACACTACAAAGAATACGATTCTTCGACTATTAAAACTCTTAGCTAATCTGGCTTATAGCCTAGTACGCTCTCAACACCACCCTGCGCAGCTTGCAACTGCTTCCGATGCTGCGATGGATTCCTTTAACTACGACACTTCGGATCACTTGTGTGCGGTATCACAGCATCAGTCTCTCATAGTTTCATCAGTTTTATATTTACCTTCTTTTTTTTGCAGACATTATTTTAATGTCAATGTCAATTTAGTCCAGCAACAAAAAAGTTATCAGTTTTATTTAAAAAATATTACATTTATTTTTATGTCAATTACTGCCCGCATACTTCAAATTTGTCTTTATATTTCGTAAGTTATACAGAGCTCTGATCGAGAATTATAAGTTTCAACTACTTGAATGACTAATGTGTTTTAGATGTTATTGTTGAGGATGCCAGTAGTCACTCAAGCAGCGGAGGACCTGTCATTACCGAACAGTGTCTGTGAGTTCATTGCCATTTATAAAATTGTAAGGGTAGACAGTTAGATTACATTTTCTTAGACATTATTTTGCGATTAATAGTATTTTTACATATAATGCGTGAATTATGTGGGTGCACGTGAATATCTGATATTGCAGGATTATGGACGATATGGTTGAAATGCATAAACTTTACATATATTTATATACATAAACGCCTATGTATATGTATAGATGTTTGGATGATGAAAGCGACTTTTCATGAGCAGTCTAATTTTGGCATACTCTTAATACATATGTATATAATATATATGCACGTTTTATATAGTTGGTTAAATAAAGTATAACAACTTCCGAAATTGGCTTAACAATCGGTGTTGTGAACGTTCATCGAGAATGCACATATACTTTCTCCCTTTCTGGCTACAGCTTTTGCCTGGTATTGGCCAACATCGTCCATGTTGCATTTCGCAACTGTAAAAGCGTATCGGTTGTCATCTTTAGTAAATGAGTATCGTGAAAGAGTTTCGTCAATGGGCTTGCCATCTTTAACCCAAACCAAATTAAGGAGTTCTGAATCTAATTCGCATTCAAATGTGGTAGCCTCTCCTTCAAGAACCGAAACTGATATCGGGAATTTCACGAAAGCCGGATGCTTAGGCTCATCTCCAGGCACTGTTACATTAATAGTGCAAGTACTGAACGATTCGCCTACATCATTAAAGGCCTCGCAGGTGTAGGTGCCGCCATCTTCGGGGAAAATCTCGGCGATTTGCAATCGGTATATGTTGGCTTCGTTGGTGTATTGGAAGTCCTTGCTTGGCTTTATCTCTTTGTTATTGTGCAACCATACCACATCGAAATGTTCGGCCCCAATGATGCGACAAGCCAAGGTAACTGCATCGCCATCCTTAACAAATCTCGACTCCAAGTGACTTACTATTTTTGGTGCTTTGTCGCCGGAAATTACTTTTCGTTTGGTGGAGCTCTTATCCAGCGCTAAAATTATATAGAAATAGTTTGTTTTAATTATTTAAAAATTAATTTCTTGTTTTAGCTTAGTTTCAGTTTTAAAAAGAGACTTTTGCCTATCGGCTTATACATTTTTTGGTCATAACTTTTTGATGAATGGTC